CAGTAGTAACGCCTCCACCACCAGTGGTAACAACGCGTTCTCCAGTAATGCCTCCAGCAACGCCTTCAGTAACACGACGTCCTCCAGCAACGCCTTCAGTAACGCCTCCAGTAATGCGTCGTCCTCCAGCAACGCCTCCAGTAACGCGTCCTCCGCCTCCACTAGTACTAACAACGCATCCGCGTTGTTCGCGTTGCTGTTGCTGAGCGGCTGCTGCTTGTTCTTGTTCCTCCTCCTCACGTACTTCACGTGCAATTGTAAACAAGTTTGGGGGGGGAAGTGCTTGCTGCATTCTTCTTGTTCTTGCTCCTCCACCACATCCTCCACCACGTCCTCCACCACGTCCTCCGCGTCCGCGTCCGCGTCCTCCACCAGTAGGCGCTCCTGGTGTTGCTGTGGGTGCTGGGGGTGTCATTGCTGTTAGTAGTTTCTTTATTGCTTTGCTTTATCGCTTTGCTGCTGCAGTCGAAGTTGTTGTGTGAAGGAACCACCACAGCACACACTACAAGGGGGGGGGGGGGTGTATTATTGCACGCTCTACGTACATTCAACGGTCGAAAATGCAACAAAAAACGCTGGTGAATCCTACCAATAAGAAAAAAAGCAATACTGTTTTTGTTAGTTAATTTACACACAAATTATTGTATACTGTCTCAAAAACAGGAATATTGGTCTCCGTACATACAAATATATGGGGTAGGGCTATTCAGTATTGTTTTTGCGTTGCATGGGGGCAATTACGATAATGCAATTTTAGTTGCAAAATACGAATACTGTAGTAATAGGCATGCCTTTTCTTTTGTTCCTCTCTCAATCACTTGGTACTTGATGTCGCGCAAAGGACAAAAATCCCATGACGAGTGCTCCTACGCGAAAATTCCATCATTTTTTGATTTCCCAATAAACAGAAGCATGCAAACATTCGACTTTCGCGACATCAACGGAACTACATGACTGTCGTCTCAGTAGTTACCATCTCGAACGGAAAATACTAGAAGAAACTCATGTCATCTTAAAAAAAAAAAATCGCATTTATTTTTTAGTCCCAAAAGACTATTAGAATTCCGATCGACGTTGAAAATATGGCGAAATGGAATTTTCAACACGGCATGTGCAAAAACTTAACAACACGTGCCGAATCGATCGACTTTCTGTTTTTTCGGTGGCGTTACCTATTGATCCCGGATCCTTTCCGTTGGCGCGCACGATCGGACTGGGTTCGGAATTTTGTTTGTCGCAGGCTGTCATTGACTTTGCTCACATGTTCAAGGTGTCACTGTCAACCCTAACTATCACCGCAGAGGAAGGGTGTGAGTAAAGTGAAATACGACGGGCTAGAACACTCACATCAACGATACTGAAAGTGTTGCGGATGCGTGGGGAGTAACGTGACTTCGTAGTCGCCCTCATGATCCAAACACTCGATTCATATTTTTACTTGCAAACAAGTTCACTAGCCTTTCAGTAGCTCATAAATCACAAGTTCTGTGATTTGACATAGTTCCAAAACAGCTTTGGTTTTAACAACTCCCAAAATACATCGAATTCCCCTCCATCTTCAAAGATGATGCACCCCTCAACCAAGACTCTCCTACTCGTTATCGTTGCCGTCGCCCTTGCCACTACGGAAGCCAAAAATTTCCGTGGAGCTACTTCGGTCGAGGAGGGTGACATGACCCGACGCTTGTCCGCAAAGTCGATGTCCATGAAGGAAAAGTCTATGAAGGAAAAGTCTATGAGCAAGTCCATGAAAGATAAGTCTATGAAGAGCGGTGGCAAGTCTATGAAGAGCGGTAGCAAGTCCATGAAGAGTGGTGGCAAGTCTATGAAGAGCGGTAGCAAGTCCATGAAGAGTGGTGGCAAGTCTATGAAGAGCGGTGGCAAGTCCATGAAGAGTGGTGGAAAGTCCATGAAGAGCGGTGGCAAGTCCATGAAGAGNATGAAGAGCGGTGGCAAGTCCATGAAGAGTGGTGGAAAGTCCATGAAGAGCGGTGGCAAGTCCATGAAGAGCGGTGCAAAGTCCATGAAGCGTGACTAAAGAGTTAGATCGAACGATCGAACACTGCTGTGTTTTTCGCCAGCAGTCGCGATAGAACACAGCAGGCACTTTTTCCTGTGAGTCCCAACCAATCAATAAATCAATGTTGCGATCATGGAATTGCGTCTCATCACGGAGCGCAAATATCTGTAACATTGTGCCTATGTTGCATGATTTGTGCCTTTTCCTATGGTAGAAATCTATGTCTCCAAGGAACGTCAATAATCAATAATACGTATAATGTAGCATCTACTGCCCATCATCGTGGATGAGATAACGGTCCAAAAGTTTCGGAAGAATCGTAATTTAGTAGTACTATTAAATAGTAATGTGAGTACTGTATATTTACAGTTTTTGCATTTTGAAGACGATCGCCATCTTCCTTCTGTCACTCGAATGACAGTGTAATTGACGTTGAAGATGCTCGTTCGTTGTATTGATACAAACAACTGGAATGTATCACTTCTTGTGTTGTGTGGAGGAACTATCGCCAGCTGTTGCTGTATGTTTCTCAGCGAAACGAAGGAGATACCAGTACATGGGTTTCTCGTACTCGTACAATAGTTTACAGGTAGCTCGATAGTCTGTAATCATAGTTTGCCGCAGGTACTGTACCTGGTACTGGCATACCCGTGTACTTTTGATAAGGTATATTTTTTTCGCAATTGATAAGTAAGTATTCCGATATGATGTAGGTGGTTAGCATACTTGCCTTTCACGCAGGATACCAGGGTTCGAGTCCCTGTATCGGAAACTCTCTGATATTTTTGATAGAGGAAATTTTGTTTTATCAGAAGGACTCAATACAACACTGATGCAGCAGCAACAAAACAGGGATGATGGTGACGACATAGCGCTACTAAGTACGGGCCCCATAATGGAAAGTTACAGGCAATAGCCCACCTGTCAGTTTTTTCATTTTCCCCTCTCCCCCCCCTACACACAAAAATACTAGTCGATTAATATTTCAATTACTGGTCCTTAGTACTACTAGTAGTAGTAGTACTACTAGAGAGCTATTTTCATTGCATACTACTACTACTTGAGAATTACTGTCAGTGCTTACTACTACTGGATAAGCTTGATCACTCCTACTTCTTACTAGTGGGGATGTAATACTAGTGAGTAGAGGGGAGCAGCACCAACAGAACAGCCTTACCGCATCATGTGGAATAAGGAGAGTTAGTGTGGTGTGGTTGATCTAGTAATTATAACACATGGAAACAGTACAGTGTACATTCTAAAGACTTAGCAGATATGAATTGACGCCATTACACCATGCTACCATGTTAGGGTAGGTGGTGGTGGGGCGTGATAGTAAGGGTGTTTAGATTAGATAAGAGAAGTGTGTGTAAACGCAACTGCTGCTGGAATCTTCCCCTGCATACTCAACACAGTTAGCAATAAGACACCAGTAAGGCTGTGTGTGCTGTGTGAAAGGGTCATTAAGAGGCTCATATTTTAGCAAAAATCTTAATATTAAATTTAACCTCATGAAGTAGAAGAGGCACTATATGGCCAGAACCAGAGCCTCTCCAGACTAGGGAGAAGAATGCTCCTAGCTGCACCAGGGGGCGGGACCTCCCTCCAAGGAGGTTTTGTGGAGACGCAACCAAGTTTCATGGACACTGACAAGTCAATTAAGGCAGGTTGCTGGACTCAGAGGACATAAAAGCAGTTGGTTCACAGTTTGGATGGATGGGAACCATGCCATTATCATTTCAAAGGGCACTGCCAAGCCCGTAGGCAAGCTTCCACACACAGTGATCAAGGAAATGTGTGCCAAGCACACTGCTAAGCCAATTAAGGCAAGTCACTCCCAGTGGACAAGGACACTGTAGTCAACAAGAAAAAATAAAAATAAATAAAAGCCATAAATGAAACTGGAACTGCATGGAGATAAAGCTGGGGATTCTTCTTAAAAAACTGAGTATGTATGGTGTAGCATATACTCGAGGCGTTGTTTGTCAAAGGGTCTTAGTTGAATACTGGGGGCTGGGGTTGGAAACAACAACAACGTGACCAGAAAACACATCTGGTCTGTAAATAAAACTGGAATACTGTATGAACTGCATGGAGATGCTGGGGAATCTTCTTTAGGGTATTTTTGTAGCATATATTCCAGGCTTTGTTCCTCAATACTAGGAGGTCTTGGTTGGATACTACTAGGGCTGGGGTTGGTCTTGTTGCTTTCCAGCATGACAACAAGTGTCAGAAAACAACAACCATCGTGATCAGAAAACACTGCAGCTTCTGATCCTTGAGAACTGGGGATGGATCCAGCTGAGGTAAAGAAGCACTCAACTGGTGGAAGATAATACTGATACTGGTCTACTAGGCAGTATTACTAGCTGGGGTAGTAGTAGTAGTAGTAGTAGTTGTTGTTGTTGTTGCTTCACAACAACAACAGCAACAACA